GGACAGGTTTAGAACATGCTAATCTGGAAATCGTCCTGTAGGGATACAAATGCATTGCTGTTTATCAACTAATGGCTAGATTTCTCACGTAACAGGTTATATACAGCATATTCACAGTATTTTTACATAACAATACATGGGTCTGTCCACCCTACCTCTTCTGGTGGAAAAATGTAACATGTCAAGCTGACAACAGTTTCAGGGGAGTCCCCCAATAAAAAATGCTCATGCAGAGCTAGCTTATTTTTTATCCCTTGGAAGTAAAATCTTACATAGAATGAGCAAGACGTCTATTTTACAATATTTACTTTGTAGAGTGAAAAGAGGAGAGACAGGCTATTTAAACATAGGACTCTTTCGCATACTGGATCTGGTCTACCTCAAAAATGGGCTGACTGCATCGCCGAGTCATGTACTCATGTTTGTTCTTTTGATAGGATTCGGACATGGCTCTCAGCCGATAAACTCCAGGAGTCACGGGTAGACTCACACGGGAGTTGACTCCAAGAGCAACATTGTGGGTTGCAGTTTCTCCCTCGGAATCCTTCCCTGCAGAACTTGCGTCACTGAGGAGAGCCCTGGGAGCCATATATGCTATGTTCTGTGCACAGCTGGTGCATGGATAGGGTGGCAAAGCATCCTCCTTTGACATCGTTGATCGCATAGTTTGAACTGTAAGACTGTAGGATGGAACTTGAGTGGACAGGCAGTTTTTTGTAGCCTCTTCATAAGAGGGTGGTCTTCCAGGATTCCTCTGGTCCACCTCTCTAAACACTTCATCAGCTGACCTGAAACGGGGCCTTTGCTGATACCCCACAGGCAATGGCTTGTTCTCATCAGGCATGTTTCCCCGGACAATTCTGCAGGAGAACTGATTTCCTTTCATTGTGAAGCTGTCTGTCGGAAAACCTATGCTTTTTCCAGGCCCCCAGCTCTGGGTTTTTGTTAGTGTTTTCCTTCGATTTGCAAAAGAGAAGGACATAGAGTGCTTTTTGATCTCTCTGCTAGGT